TGCCACTACCACCAAGCATCCCTCCTATCCTGCTCTTTAGCATTGGGCAACCCAGAAATTGGCCGTTCCTTTTTCTAGAATTTTTAATCCTTAATTGTGTTGCCCATTGACCACTGGGTCCCAGTGACTCACTTTAGTTGGTTTTGACTGTTTTCTTCCTGACAACAATAAATGTCTCCTCCCTCGTCTCCCACTCTCCCATCAGTGTTCATGCTGCAGGAACCAGTGAGTCCCCCATGTCTCCAGCTTGTAAGTTTCTTGCTTCCCCTCTTTGTGTGCCTCTTATCTTCTCACAAAGGTTGCCTTTTTTGCCTTCTGGGAAATAGTAGATATTTCAATTCAATCCATTGTTTGATGGGGATAACTCATTCTTGTTAATGTGTCGGTTATCAACTTTCCATGATAAAAATCATTCCTTGAGGTTCTTTTATTTTCCCAGCTGAATATTCCTCGGAGATCAAAGAGGCTTATATTCCTCTAAAACGGATGACCAGGTGGCTGTTATTCTTGGCCATCTCAGGACTCAGCTGTGCAACTACTGGTCCTGATGTGGAAGGTGTTGTGCACATTTTCTTATCTTTTGTAACTTTATGGGATCACTGGGACCTATTATTTGATGCGAATGTCTGTTCGGGTCATTGACTTTACTATACAGGTGAAGCTTTGTTAGATTTTTTGAAGGTCCTCAATGATTCTAACCATCAGATGACAGATTGGAATAGTTTTCTTGTGAGCCCATGCTTTAGTTGGTCTCATGTCACATGCAGAGATGGACATGTCATATCTCTGTAAGATTAACCATGTCAGAAAGACAAATCTTTAACCTCCCTTTCTTCTTTTCCTAACATACTACTTTTTCTTTTATGTATGTAACCTTTGTAGGAGTTTTGTTAAATGTTTTTGTGATTCAATCATGCCAATGGATCATCATGCAGGAGCTTGGGTTCAAAAGGATTTTCAGGGACACTGTCTCCTTCAATTACCAAATTGAAATACTTGATTACCTTGTAAGTTGGTATTTGTAAGATTCAGCAATACTGCCTCAGTGCTACTGCGCTGGTCCAGCTAATCAGAGAAACCTTGTTTGTCATGGGTAATTTGTTGGGCTAGTGTCTGATTTACCAAGAATAAATCATAAGAACTTCATATAGAAGATTTTCTAATAATTAAATCATGACCTATGGGTTGAGAGGAACTTCCTTTTCAACTTCTTGTGATTTTCATCATCTGTTATAAGCTTAAAAATTGAATTCTAAATACTCATTTCTTGCATACCATTTTACAAATACGATTTGTATGTTAAGAAATACTACTTTCAGTCCTTAATATAAGATCTAATTGACTAATTTGTGAAAATGAAAAAGTTACTAAATTACTTTAAAGTATTTATATTTATCGTTTTTCTCCCAACTAATTTGCCTCACTTATAAATTGAAATATAATCTAATAATATACAATAGATTTCTTCCATGATATTATCTCTTATTAGCCAAATTAATTATTACAGGGAATTGCAGAACAATAGTCTTTCAGGTTTCTTGCCTGATTATATTGCCAAGTTGACACGCCTGCAATATCTAAATCTTGCTGACAATAATTTTAATGGTTCCATACCATCCACGTGGGGTCAACTTTCCTCTCTAAGGACTCTGTAAGGCTGTACTTTCCATTTTTCAGATACTCTTGTCCCTCCTTCTAAGAATTATGGATCATATGAAAGCCTTTTGAGAGATTGAACAATGTATGATTGTAAGTGATGATGGTTATTCAGGGTATTGAAAGGGAATGACTTGTTTGGATTCATACCGGATTCTGTTGAAAATCTCAGTAGGTTATCAGAATTGTAAGAATTTCCATTCTGATGACTTTTTTTTTTTTGTCTTTAGTTTTTGGGATTTCTCCTACCTTGAGTTTGCTTACATCTGTATGCTATGATTTATTATTGACAGGGATCTTTCTTCTAATAATTTAACTGGAACCATCCCAAAGCACCTCTTTTCAATTCCAATCTTCAAGTAAATTTTATTAAAACTTGAATCTCTCTAGTTTTTTGGGATTTACTTAAGATAACTGTATTCTGAAAAAATACATACAATTTGCTTTTTGCTACTTTATCACTTTTCAGCTTTTCAAATACGAACCTTCAATGTGGCTCTAGCTTGGAGCAACCTTGTGCTTCTAATTCAGCTATTCCAGGTTTTTATTTTCATTTTTTCCTTTGTCTTGTGTAGTTTTTGATATTCAAAAAGTTCTAAACCTAAAGTTTACATTTTCCTGTAGCTTCAACCAACAAATCAAAAGTTGCAGTGGCTTTAAGTTTGGCAAGTTGTGGCGCCTTCGGAATTCTATGTTTAGGGGTCATCTTTACATATGTATACCGATTCGCGCAAAGACACAAAAGTGATGTTTTTGTTGATGTTTCAGGTATTTTCTTATAATGCTGGGGTCCTTCTAGTCATTTATCTTCACCGTCCTAATTGGAATATGATTGATATTTTTAACGTGTTCAGAGTCATACTTATTGCATACTTCTGGAAAAACTCTTTGAAAAGTAATATTTGATCAGGTGAAGATGAGAGCAAGATTTCATTTGGGCAATTGAGAAGATTTTCTTTGCGTGAACTTCAGCTAGCCACAAAAAATTTCAGTGAAAGCAACGTGATTGGCCAAGGAGGCTTTGGAAGAGTATACAAAGGAGTACTCTTGGACAACACAAGGATTGCAGTGAAACGCCTGGCCGATTATCATAATCCTGGTGGAGAGGCCGCATTCCAAAGAGAAGTTCAACTTATAAGCGTTGCAGTTCACAGAAATCTCCTACGTTTGATTGGGTTCTGTACAACCTCAACCGAAAGAATCCTTGTATATCCTTTCATGCAAAATCTAAGTGTTGCATATCGCTTGAGAGGTAATAGAACCACACTTTTCTTCAATTCTGGAGTTGACTGACTATATTTGAGTTAAATTCTTGACACTAATTTGTGGATGATGCAATTAGATTTGAAACCTGGAGAGAGAGGTCTGGACTGGCCAACAAGGAAACGTATAGCATTTGGTACAGCACATGGATTGGAGTATTTGCACGAGCAATGTAATCCTAAGATCATACATCGCGATTTAAAGGCAGCAAACATCCTGTTAGATGATGAATTTGAAGCAGTTCTCGGAGATTTTGGCCTAGCTAAGCTGGTTGACACAAGACTGACCAGTGTTACCACTCAAGTGAGGGGTACAATGGGACATATAGCCCCAGAATACTTGTCCACAGGAAAATCATCAGAAAAAACTGATGTCTTTGGATATGGCATAACACTTCTTGAAATTGTGACAGGTCAACGAGCAATCGACTTCTCCCGGCTCGAAGAAGAGGAGGAGGTTCTTCTGCTAGATCATGTAAGATTCTAGTCCATTGTTGTATCTTGAAATGTAAAAACTGTTACTGTTGATGACTCGTTTTCTATGTTCAACTCTGCAGATTAAGAAGCTGCTGAGGGAGAAGAGGATAAAGGACATAGTGGACAAGAATTTGGAGAGCTATGATGTGAAGGAAGTGGAGAGGATTATTCAGGTTGCCTTGCTTTGCACGCAAGGCTCGCCTGAGGATCGACCAAGCATGTCAGAGGTAGTGAATTTGCTGAATGGGGAAGGTTTGGCAGAGAGATGGGCAGAGTGGGAGCTAATGGAAGAGATGAACAATAGAGAAATGTCACTCTTGGCTCACCAATTTGCTTGGGCTGATGAATCTACGCACCATCAAGAGGCTATTCAGCTTTCCTGGGCAAGATAAAAGACACATATATGGTTTTGCAGGACTCTGTTTTGAGAAATGCAAATGCTTCTTCTAAGTCAAGCACATGTACCTTAAATACAGTGTGGTGGATAGTGTTCGATATCCAATGAACCAAAAACCGAAAAAGGAAACTCTTTTCTGTATCAAGCTTTTGTTTTTGGCACAGGTGAGTCGTTGTAGAGGTAGAGTATTAGAGGCAAGGCCTACGCCCTAGTGCGACACACGTATCTCTGTACCTGCCTCGTGTAAACTTGCATCTGTTGCATGTAAGATATTGCCAATCTTCCCTGAACTGAAGTGAGAATAGATAAGGTCTTTTTATATTAATTTGGTTGCTATGTATCTTAATTAAAATAATCCCTGAAACCATTTTTGAACGACATTCTAAAACATTAATATGGAATATAATATACCTCAAAATGCTATAACTTTCGTCTTCATATTTTAAATCGTCAATGTAAAATATAAAAAAAATATATTAATTGCATAGTCAACAACTTTACTTTATTTCAATTTAAATGCATAAAGACCGCTCTAAATTTTTCGTAAATCCATTAACTTGACTATGTTTTTTTGAAATATTTTATCTTCTAGCAATTGAAGCCGTCTTTTTTATATTTTTGACATGCTTTTGAGTTTTAGGTGTTCACAATTTCGAAATAAATCCAAGTTACAGTATATTATCAATTTATTCCGATTATAAATATAAAATATAAAAAATAACAAATCTCATTATTTATTTGTCATAAATGCTATAACTCATTTATAAGATTATTACCATATGTCTAATTCTATGGAAATAGTAACCTAAATGCTTTCAGGATAACTGAGAATCTGACTATCTGAGATAGAACAGTCAACTATTTGGTTAAGTGCACAAAATGTGATCAATACTTAAAATAGACTACATTATTTTCAAATAATATACTTTAGTCTAATTTTTTACATTTTTTTATATTAATTTCGTAATTTGTATGAACATTAATGTTATTTTTATGTTTTTAAATGTTTAAAAAATATTTTTAAATTTTTAGCTTAAATTATTCTACCTTTTGATTTGTTTAATTTTCTTTGGTCAAATGTTTAGATTTAACTTAATTTACAGTGTTGGCACTTGGAAGTTGGAACTATCCTTTTTTGACGTCGGTTGGCACTTGGAGCTTGGAAGTTGGAAGTCAAAAAAAATTTTCTCGTTGAGACTGTGTGGACTTTGGAGCCATTGCGCGCAAAAGGTAGTGGTGGTACTCCAGTGATTTCTAGGGTTTTTAGTTCTGTGTAGCTTGTAATCGTTGTTGTCGAAATCGATGCCTCGAAGCCTGTCGCGCTCTCCGTCGTACAGGAGGAGATATTCTCCGTCCCCTGTGGGTCACCGTCACAGCCGTAGAAGCCGCAGAGATCGGAGCCGCTCGCCCTATTCCAATTCTACCCGGACCAGGTTTTCTTTTTATATCTTGCTGCTCCTAGTCCAAGTTTTCTGTAAAGCCTCGACCTTTGTTTAGCTACAATGATTGGATTCCTTGTTCCCCTTCAACTCAGATGATGTTTTATCTCTTAACATCATATAAGAAACTGACTGTCATTATTCCACAGAGACGGGTTCGGGTTCGAAGTGCCCGTCCCTGTGTTGGCTTTCGTATTAATTTTGAAAATTCTTAGTTTTGGTAATTTTCAAGTGGAGTCTGGATCTGCTGTTTGATTGCAGGCGAAGAAGTCGCTCTCCGAGTCATAAGCGTCGGAGAACACGGTCTCCAGCTCATAGACATCGTAGGAGACATAGAAGTAGGAGCTCTTCACTGTCTCCACTACCTAAATCTCGCAGTTCTAGCCCTGTTTCAAATGAGCATAAAGCTGCCTCTGACAAACTGAAAAAAGAGGAAGAAGAAAAGAAAAGGTAAACTTCCTGATTCATGCGCCATTTTTTGTGATCTCCCTTCACAAAACACTTGGATACTTATCATGCCTATGAGATTGTAATTCATTTTCTCAGCATAACTTTGGTTAATGAAAGGCATATATGTTCATCATAGGCGAGAATCTTCCATAGAGGCCGTACTTGAGCCTGGTGCATCGAATTTGTAAAGCGTTAACTGAGTTTAATTATTAATGTCATGTTTATGGTTGATCAACTAAAAAGATGCCAGCAGGTTAACTTGATTAAAAAGTCCAGTTTGGTGTAAGGAGTTATGTTTATCACCGAGGCAAAATTTTGCCGCTGGTGGTGAGAATACACTAAATGAGTAAATTATTGGCATTATAGTTTGAAGATAATAGGTTTACAGCAACTTATGTCTAAATCAATTCCCATTTTTGCTTGTGCCAGATGCGTGATTCACTTTGAAAATGCAACTGCTTAAATTCTTCTCTACTGGCTTTTCTGAAGGAAGCTACTGCGTAGTACAATGTTTGTTATATATGATGAACAATTGGTGCGAAGTTTATCTACTGTTCCATAGGAAACTGCATATGTATGGATCAGGAACTTGTTAGAGGTATGCCTTATAAGCGTAAGCTCATCTTTTCCACGTTAATGGAGTGACCTGGTTGAAAACTTGAAATCAAGTATGAAAATTAAGTATTCATTCTACTCCTGTTGTGTTTTTCCATTGTCACCTGGGACTAGGAAGCTGATGTAATTATGATTTGCTTCTAGCTCTTTATTCTTCATCAGCAGCCGCTTATCTTCTTGAACATCTGCACTTTGTAACAGGCGTCAGCATGAGGAAGAATTGAAATTATTGGAAGAGGAAACTGCACTGAGACTTGAAGAAGCAATACGGAAAAATGTCGAGGAGAAGCTAAGTTCAGAGGAAGTGAAGTTAGAAATAGAAAGGCGCATAGCAGAGGGTGTGAAGAAATTGTTTGATGATGTTGAAGCTCAACTTGAAAAAGAAAAGGAAGATGCCCTCAGTGAAGCTAGAAGGAAAGAAGTAAGTATAGCAGGCTATTGATACTGCATATAACATAGCCTTGCATCATCAAGCGTCATAATCGCTGCATTTTATAAATTGAACGTGAATAACTAATGCATTATAATGCAACCTGCGCCCTGGGATACCTTCAAGTATCATAATACGGTTTGGCAAGGTTATCGTATCCTCTGGAAAATCACTTGCCATTCGACTTTGATGATGTAATTATGTTGTTTTACAGGAACAAGCTCGTAAAGAGAGAGAAGAGCTGGATATGATGCTTGAGGAAAATAGGAGGAGGGTGGAAGAGGCTCAGAGAAGAGAAGCTCTAGAGCTGCAGCGGAAGGAGGAGGAACGTCAAAGGGAATTAGAGATGATTAAGAGGCAGAAAGAAGAGGCTGCTTGGAGAAAGAAACTTGAAGATGAGCAGGAATATGCCAATCGAATGAATTC